TCACAGTGGCCCTCAACAAATTCGAAATAAAAAAAAATGTCAACGGAAACTGTTTGTGGACACGTTTTGAACTTTGTCCAAGAATTTTAATCAATTTTTACATTAGTAATCAATTTAATAAAATGTTTTCATACTGTCATTAGTGAAGTGCAAAACTTTGGATTTTTATATAAATTTTTATTTATCATCTTATTATTACTTCAGTTTTTCTGCGTATTTTTAAAGTTATTACTAACTTGCAATGAGCAATAGAACCACACCTCTGCATAGTTTAAATCTACTGTCATCGAATAGTTCAAATTTACTGTCATGGAATAGTTTAAATCCACTGTCTGTGAATAATTTAAGTCTAATGTCATCGACTAGTTTAAGTCTACTCTCATTGAATAGTTTAACTCTGTTGCTAAGTGTATTAGATTAAAAGCAGTATTGCATTATTTTAAAAAATATTTTTATATTAAATGTTGAAAAAAAAATTAATTTAAAATAGCAAATAAATAAAAAAAGTATTCTAATTTTAACTAAATTTTACAACAGCTCACACAAACTCTCCACATATGATTACTGATTATATTAGTTTAATATCGTAACTTCATTTTATGTCCATTAGATAATTTTATACTGAATAAAACTATCTATGGATTGATTCTTTTAGTTTACAATTTTGTGTTTTTATATGGTTACTATGTTATATGTTGATTGTTAAATCGATAATAATATATAAATAACAAAACAAAAAATTTAATTCAAATTAAAAAATTTTGATTTAAGTTTTTATGGGGAATTTTCGCCGATGTAAAAAGAGTTAAATATTTATGTTACTTGATAAAATTTATTATTTAAAATTAATTCATTAAAAAAATATTTTTTTCATTTAAATATACAAAATATTCTAACAAATATAAAACTTTATTTATTTCATGTGTTTTGCCTGATTTTTTTAACCTAGTAATGGGCATTTACTTATTTGTAAAATCTCTCAAATGTCATGGGGGAATGGCGATTTTATTTTATTTAAATGTTATTATAATGCACTAACTTTGTTTCGGTTAATGTAGAAATGTCATGCAACAGTTGTAAAAATGTTTTGTACGATTAAGTTGTTGGTTTTTTTGTTTTTTTTGAAAGCCGCGATCGTTTTGTGTAATTATTTTTTTTGTACGCTAGAGAATGTTTTTGTATTAAAAGTCAATTGTTGCAAAACTGTGAAACATTTCAACAACTGAAACCAAAGAACTTGAAGATTAAAAAATTCAAGTTTTCACTAAACATTATTTATTTTTTAACACCTAACTAAAATTACTTTTTAACACCTATGCAACACCTCTTCAAAGTAATAAAAGGTGGAGCTTACAGACTAATAAATAACGTATTAATAATGATCAACTTCATTCATTAATACATTAATTAATACAAAGTTATTTTTTGACACACTAATTTTATATTAATTGTATTTATTGTTTGTATTTGTCTTTTTTTATACGTCCGTAATGTTCACTAAACACCTAATTACAAATAAAAATTCTGAATATCAGAAAAGCAACAATTAAAACAGTGTTTTATAATCGTTTCATTTGTCTTGTCGTTACGTTTATTTAATTTAGGTAAATATTTTTTTGATAATTGTTATATGCGAGTTATTTTTAGCACTATTTGTTTGTTAATAGGTATTAATAAAGTAACTTATAATAATTTACAAATTTTTTCTGTTATTATAAAGTTTTAACTTATAGTTGGGATATACCAAATTCCGGCCGAATATTTTTTTTTCAGATCAATTGTGTAGGATAATAATTTGTTCACACAGCCTGTGTGACATGTCGTAAAAAAAAAAGTTTAATTACAGCCAGAAGCAAGTGGATCTAAAAGAAAAAATATCAGGCCGGAATTCTGGTACATCTATCTAATAGTGACTTTTAAATTACATCAAAGACGGTAATGAATCTTTTTATTGTCTTTTAATTATTTTATTGAAGAAAAAATATTTTTTTTTTATTCATTTGTTTAACCATAAAATCAAAAATTGCAAATTTAATTATAATTTAAAAAGTTAGGTAAGGTGTCACTCATATAGTTAAAAACTAGTCAATGGAGTGACATCTTAATAAAATTCACAAATAAAATAAAAAAATATTAAAACAAGGGAATAATAAAGTAAACTACATTAATACAAGTATTAAAAAAGGAAGTAATAGGAACAATATTTAAAAAGTTGGAATCAGAACAAAAATATAAAGGAGTAAGGCTAATAAAAATGAAAAAAAAAAGAGAGATAGAGGGAATGAGATAAGACGAGTAAGAAAAAAAATGATAAAACAAAAAATTTAATTACATAATTTCAGAAAGATAAAGTGACAGAAAATTTTTTCTGTCACTTTAAAGCAAAATAAAGGCAAGCTTTAATACAAAATAAATATATACATACACTACTATTTACAATATTAAAGTCTGTATTACGCATTATATAGATTAGTTAAACAAAAATGTATATCAAGATATAGAAAAAGTAACAGCAACTAAATTCACAGAGAAAAATGCAAAGAAATAAATACATTCAACATTTTTTATATACATAAATACACAACATATAAACAATGTACAAAATTAAATAAAATTGTTCTCTTTAATTTCTTTCCATTAAATATTGGTGGTAGAAAAAATTTTATTTCTTTTTAATTATTATCCATATTCAATGACTTTTTACTTTTAACTTTGTTTTTATTTGTTTCGGTTTTTTTTCTTGTCTTTTTTTTGTTTTTTTCTTTTATCAAAATCTTGTATTCTTGTTTATACACTTATTTTTTAAACTTTTATTATCAAAATGTTTTTTTTTTTACTTTTTTTTTTTTTACTTTTTTTTAATTAATTTTTTTTTAAACTTTTTTTATTTTTCCCTTTTTAATAATTTTTTTTTTAAATTTTAAAAATGATTATTTTAAGTTATCCAATGAAAATGTCAAAATTATTAATGAACATTTTATCAAGCTTTAAATTTGATTTATAGTCCTTTTATAAAAATGCTATCAAAGAATTCATCTTGAAAAGTCACAAAAAAAATTTTTTTAACGGTTGCGTTAGTTACAATAAACTGCGATATCTATTAGCAATACGGTTGTTTCGAATTTCATTTGTTTTCTTGGAATTTGTCAAAGGATTTTTTGTGTTCGATGATCGAGTTTTTAAATATATAAAATCTCATTTTGTTACGACTGTTTTTAATTAACACTGGTAACAAAACCTCTTAAGCTTAAAAAAGTCGTAAGTATACTTCAATATAAATTTATTATTTGTTTTTATTTAAAAATTTATTTCTTGAAACTAAATTTGAATTGTTGCAAAACAATAACTTACGACGATTATATGGAGTTTTTGATAACGAGCTTATGTTTTTTTTTTATTAAGTAAATTATATTATAAAAATACATAATAAAAAAATAATACAGTGACATTCTAGATTCTAGAGTGTCACTGTATTATTTAGATGAAGTAAAACTTAGATTTACAAATTCACAAAATAAAAATGAAGTATGTTGAAAATACAATAATTACTTTCTAGAATCTAGAAAGTAAATTAAAACAAAGATTTTGAAGTAGCATTAGTCTTTTTTGTTGCTAAAAACCAACCAATTTTTCCTCTTTGATATTTTCAATGAACTCAGCTAAAGGTGTCATTTTACTTAATTTGAAGGGTTAAAAAGCGCGAATTGAAAACTTTAATGTTAAATTTTTATTCTTTAACATTAGCCAATCATAAAACGGCAAAGTTATCGTTTCCAACTTTACCGAGTTCATTTAGGAACTTCACCGAATTAGGGTTGCGCCGTGTACAGGTCCTCCGTAACTAAATTTAAGCTTTAATTTTCATAATTTGTTAATTATTTAAGAAATTGTATTTTGAAACTTAATTCAAATTGGTACAAAACAATTTTTTGTATAGGTATCAAGCGTATCATTATTTTTTAATATATAAATTTATTTTATAAAGATACAAGAATTAACAAAACGTTTAATACTCCGAGAGCGTCTGTTACTCTAGCTTAAAAGTGAAATATCAAATATTTGACGTAAAAAAATATATTTATAAAATGATTCTGTGAAATAAAGATTTTAACGACTTCTATTATTTATTTTTTTAAATATTTCTAAAACAAAAAGTTTTCAATTTATTTTATGAACAAAAAAACATTTTTTTTAGTTAGAAATTAAGAGATTCGTTGTTTGTTTTTGTTATTTTTTAACATTAAATTGATTTAAAAATTTGTTAATTGATATTTGTTAATTAGCTTTCATTCTGCTATTTAGTATACTATTTTGAAAAATTTGTCTTGAAAAATTCTTAGTATTTTTGTTCACTCTAATTAAACGGAGATTTCATCACATAATATATTTTATAAATAAAATATACAAATTATAGATTTTATTTTATATCATAAAACATCTAAATAGTGAGATGATTTTTTTTTTTTTTTTTTTTTGCATTTTAAATCAACGTTGAAATCGAATATTTAAACTCTCACTTTTTGAGTTTTTTATTCGCATAACTTATTTTAAAAAAGATAGTCGAAGGAGATTTTCGATTTTATATTTCTAAATTTGATTTATTTTTACTAAGTCGATTCACAAATTTTAAAATCTAATTGAATAAAGTACGATTTCTTCATTTGTTATTAAAACAAGTGAACGATGTTGTTTTTGTGAATTTAAATCAATTTCTACGTTCGTTTGGAATGTATTTTTATTTATATAAATTAATTTGTTATATATTATTTTACTCATTTATATTTATATTAAAATGAAATTATTTTATTTTAAAAATGTGATAAAAATTATATTTAAAAAATTAATATTTAAATATGTGAATGATAAAATATTATTATAATTAGAAATTGATATTGATTTATGTATTAATATGTAGAATATTATAATGTATATGATATTATAATTTCGATTATTATTTTAATTTTTATTTAATTGTTATTTTATATTTATTTTTTCTTTAGATCGTCTACTTAAATTATCTCATCAAAGTATTGAAGAAAACGATTTGCAACTTGAAACTTATTACGTTAGTTTATTCAATGAATGTTTTTATGAAAGTCAATCATCATTAACTGATGAAATAAAATTAATCGACGATGAACGAGGGTGGGAGATTTTGATTAACGATGGAAAACCTTCTTACGAAACTTCTTGTGAAAATTATTTCGTGAATCATTACATTAAATCTGGAAGAAAGTTATCGGTGTTACTTGTTAATAAAAATATTTTAAGTGATGAAGAAAAAAATCTTATAATTCAATGTTCTACAAATGTTTGCCAAATCTACATTTGGTGTCCAATTAAATTAGAAGGATGGAAACCGAAAGATAAGATTAAAGACTTGAGGATAAACATCTCATGTTATTTAATAACGAAAAAAGATTTTAAAGAAAATTTTCTTCCGTGGATTAATCTTTGTGAAGGATTAAGTCTTGAACTTCACGACGACATCGATTTCATTGAAGAGATTTGTGAATGGATTCGTTGTTTGAATGTCAAGAGGTTGTGGATCATGTACCGTGGAAAAGTTTTTCATAACTTCGATGAATTAAAAAACTTTATAACACATTAAAAAATCTATTATCTTAATTAAAATATAAACAATTATAAAATAATAAATGAAATATTTAATATATTATTTTTTAACTAAATATGTTTTAAAATATACGAATTAATTTTAATAATATTTTAGTTTTATATTTTTGATATTATTTTAATTTGTTTAATATTATTTAATAATAATTTTTGTTTAAAACAATTTAATATATTTGTTTTAAAATATTAGTAATAATAATATAAATCATTAATTATTTTATATTTTATATACTATTATTATTATTATTAAATATATATTTTTTTATTATATATATTATTTTTGCTACATAATTATTTCTTTCAATAATAGTAGTATTGCAACATTCTAAAAAGATTTTTTTATTTTTCACCAACTTCTAAAACGAATGTTTGAAATTTAAGTTATTTAAGTACCTTAAATAATAATTTTTATTAAATTAAGTATAAAATATATAGTTATAAATAAATAAAAACTAGAATTGATGAATAGAAAAAATAAATAAAAAATATAAATTGAGTTAATAGTAATGTTATGTGGAAATCTTTTGTTTAATATTTTATATATTTAAAATTTTTGTTGTATATGTTTAATATATATTTTTTAAACAAAATATTAAATATATTTTATAATATTGTAAAAGTTATTTTAATTTTTAATATACTAAATATATATTATCCTCATGACAATTATTTTTAAATTTTAAAGTTTCCGCCATTGGTTTCTTCACACGATTTTTGTTGTCAAAATAAAAAAATTCGAAAGTTTTTGTAGAATTTTTTTTCGAATTTTGTTCGAAAGTAAAAGTTTAATTTATTTAAATTTAATTAAAAATAGTTAAATTTAAGTTACAAATAACGTTGTTTATTTAATTGTAAATTAATATGTATTAATATTTAAAATGTTAAACATCTTCAGAAGAGGATCTAGGCTGTAGCAAGTGAAGCAATATTGCTTCAATTAGCTCAGTTTTTCTTTCCCTTTTTATTTGTTACATAAAATTATATAATATCATAAAATTTTCCAGTTGATTTAGATCCATCAAGACATTCTGTATTAGATATGTTCATAATTCTTGATAAAGTGTGATTCACTATTGACTGAACATAACACTTGGCAAAAAAAAATTCTTGTGTTTTTAAAATTTCCAAGATTTCTGGATAACATTTAGATTTTGCATCAAATATTACTTTGACTGAAGGGTATATCTCTGCATTCTGTTTTAGTGAAGAGTTTCTAAGAATTGGTTATTGTGAATCACTGAGTTCACAATTAATTTTTAATGCAAGGGCCATTTCTGCTTTTATCGTTATTGAATTCCTATTTTTATTTTCAATAATTTTCCTGGCTAAAGCTGCATTTTTGACAGAATGTTTAATAACTTTTGAAAAGTCTGCTTTTCCTGAGTTTGATTTAACCCTTAACTTAATATTTTAAGCTTTTTACTTTTGAAACAGAAAAAAAGAATGCCTAAATAAAAAGTTCGCAAATTTTAGCGAACTTTTTTTATCTTTACCGCAAAAATTTTTTTTATTTTTTTCTTATCATTTGATATTTTTTCTAATAAGTTGTACAACGAAATTGATGCGAATTGTGTATTCAAAAAAATCCACTTATACCCACTTTTTCAGCTTATCGCTTTATTGTGCAACTAAATAAATACCACCTATAATTTATTAAGTATTTATTATTAAGCTATTTAACAGCAATATTTTTATTAACAACGAGGTCTTAAGTTATGACTAAAAGTAATCAAACGAGAACCTGTAGCGAAAACAAAATTTGTGTAGCAAAGATAAAAATTCTGTTAAATATATACTCTCCGTATATGAAACTTTTTTCAATAAAGTGAATAATTTTTTAACTTTAAATTCTAAATTAAATAACACCGCTTGTTGTTTTGCATATATTTTCTCTTTATTTAGTCTACAATGAAAATGGCGATATTTGTTTATGTTTATGAAAAATATAGAAATGTGTTTATTGCTGTTCTATAAGTTAGGGGTCGTCCATAAAGTAGGTACGCCAAAAATTCTGAAATTTGACACCCCCTCCCCCCTGTTCATATACCCCCCCCCCCCTCAAATTTTTTTTTTTAAGTTAAAAAATTTATTGAAAGGAAAAAGGTGGAGAAGGTACCCTAGATACTTTAAAAGTAATAATAAGATACTTTAGAAGTATCTAGGGTAATCCTCCACCTTTTTTATTTCAATTAATTTTCGCAGTTCGCGGTTTGCAGTTAGCATTTTACCTAGTACAGTAGGCAGTGACGGCGGAGATCCGAGTTTGATTCTCGGTAAGGTTTTTTTTATTTTTTTGTTTAATGAAACGCATCAAATAAAAATAAACTATACTTATAGCAGACGTTTTTTTTAGGCACACCTCTTTAGTAAGTCCTTAAAAAGCGAGTCTTACGCGAGAAAAGTAATATTAAAAACAAAGTTTAAAACCCACTGCCGAGTGTAGGTTACCCATACCGCGTAATTAGAGAGGATGGGGGGTTGAGGGTAGCAGCAAATTTTGTACCCTTTTGCTAATTTAAAGAGCTTTTTATTTTAGCAAAACTTAGCAATAAAATTTGGAAGATTTTGACACATTTTTTTTGAGGAGGAGGGGGAGGATATTAAAGATAGGGCACTTTTACACATTGTGCAAACTCCAAATTTAAGTTTGTTTATACCTATGCCAAATGAGGAGACCTTATAAAAAATTGGAACGGTTGAAACGTTAGGGCACTTATGTAGTAAAATATTTAACTTAACAGTCTAAAACTAAATTCAAATTTATCGACAGAATTTAAATTTCGTTGAAAAATATTGCTAATTAAAAAAGTTATGTCGATGCAAAACGTACAACCCCTCATTTATTTATTTTTGATGGGGAAGGGGATCGGAAATTTTTACTATATTAGTGCCATCACCTTTGGGAAGGGAAGGGGATGCAAGCATTTGAGGGCTTTTTTTTTCCCAGGCTATCACCATAACAACTTTTTGCAAAACCTCTTCAAATGGCATATGTTTAAACATACTTAAGTTTGAAGTTTGCACAATGTGTGGAAGTAATTTATCTGGAACATCAAAAAATCCTGCGGGCGCCCATGCATGTGTAGGCATAGAGGGAAACTATACCTTCTACTTCCTATAAAATATATCTTTTTATGCTGGCAAACTAGGATATTTAGTAAGAATTTTAACTTATCTATTGACTAGCTGGTTAGTTGTGTAAAATTAGAAAATCGAAGTACGTACTTTTAAATTGAACCCTCCTCCTCCCCCTCCTCCCCCCATACGTTATCTTACGCTTTTTGAAGACCTTTCCCTCCCGTACGTTTTTTTTATATATATATATATAGTTTTTTTTATATATGTGATAAGATTACAATAAGTACTTCATATTATTGTGTTTTTTGAGTTTCAAAAGTATTTTAAAATTCAAATTATTTTCGAATATGTTAAAATCTAACAAGTTTCTTGGATTTTGAAGACGTCATTAACAATAAATATTTATGTTATGTTTCCATATAATTTTATGTTTATGGTCTTTAATTAATTATTATTGTCTTATTTAAATACTGAAAAAATACAATTAGCAAATGGTTAAAAGAAATAATATAAAATAAATGTTTTCTCACACCTACAAGCAATGGGGTGACTTGGGGCAGGAGACTTGGGGTGAAATGGGACACTGTTCAGTTTTATCAGTTGTTTAATTTGTTATATCTTAAGTTTTTACAACACAAGCACATTGATCGCCGTTGCAGTATTTTGAAAACTGCAAATAACCCGATCTAGATATAAAAACTTATTAATTACTAAACGAAACTAAAACAATCTGTCTTTAAGTAAAAATAAATTTTTTAATAAAAAACATTAATGAACGTTGTATATTTCAACATTACAACAACCCTTGCAAAAGATCAATATATATATATATATATATATATATATATATATATATATATATATATATATATATATATATATATATATATATATATATATATTATATATATATATATATATATATATATATATATATATATATATATATATATACATATATATATATATATATATATATATATATATATATATATATATATATATATATATATATATATATATATATATATATATATATATATATATATATATATATATATAAATAGGAAACCGTTTTCTAGCCCTTATCATTGTATATGTAATATCATTGCAACCTAATACACACCAGTATATAAAGTTTTCATTAGAAGAATGACCACAATTCTATCTATGAAAATAAGCCCGTTATATACTACTAACATATATATGTGTTAAGTTTTACAAAACTTGAAGCTTATAAAGTCTATAAGAATACAGTACTTTAAGTTTACAAAGAAAATACAAGATTCATACAAGACTTTTATTATAACTAAAGTTTACAAGATTATTTTTTTAAATTATCACCATTTGTCAAAGTCAAATCGTGATGCAGCTTTTACATTTCATTGTTTTTTGTTCCTAAGCAAGTAGTTTTTAACTTTTCCCTTTTTTTAATCTTTTGCGATGAGTTTCTTTTGTTGGTTGATTTGTTTTAGGGTTTTCTTTTCTTCTGACAAACGAATTTTATTTCTGATTGGAGTATCTGTCAAAATCCTTGTTTTTAATTGCCTAGTTTTAACACTTGTTTTTATAGCAGATGCTTTCGGGTAAGGTTTCAAAAGTTCAGGTGAGAGTAATGAAGCAATGCTTGGTGACACTTTGTTCAAAAAACTTGTTTCATGATGTACTACAGGCATTTCAGGCTCCATGCCATCAACATGTGCTACAGTCATTTCAGGTTCAACAAGATTGTGTTTACTACATTTGGAGCAGCACGATCTGTAACTGATAATGGTAAATATTCATCATCTTTAAAAATTTCTGGATTAAATGGCTCAATGCCAGCTACTTGAAATCCTCTCTGTATATTAGATGGTGAGAAAGCTTTTGTATATGGTTCGCGAACTATTGAAACAATATCATAAATGGTCATAATTCTTGGATTTG